ACTTAAGTGTCTGCCTTTGGCTCAGGTCATGGTCCCAGGGTTCTGGGATGGAGCCCCGCATCAGTCTCCTTGCTCCTCGGGAAGCCTGCTTCTCCCTCTCCCTGATGCTCCCCCTGCTTGTACTCTCTGTCAAATGAATAAATAAAATCTTTAAAAAAATAAAATAAAATAAGATCTAAGTTTGACTCTGCAACCAGATTCTCAATATAGCAACCTAAATAAGCCATATATGCCTTACAACAGAAATCAGCAATATGGTTTCAAGATATACAGTTTTTTCTAGTCATCCATGTGTGAAAGAAACTTAATGATAATAGTTTTCTTTCACTTACGCCATAAAAAAGAAAAAATTACCATGCCTATAAAGCTTATTTATTCCATAGTCCGGAAAAGAAAAGTCTAATAGGATCCTTCCTGCCTTAAGGTATTAGAACATAACGTCTCCAATAAGATATCATTCTTAGGAGTAAATCAGTTAAAGAGATAAGGCAGGAGGTCAAAAGATTTGTTTACAAGATTTTAAGGAAAATATACCTAATATCTCTTATCTTTCCTGAGGAGAGAGGGGGAGAAAATATGCCAAATATTTCAATGCACTGCACGACTAGGATCTATAGGATCTGAGAAAAAAAATCTCCTTATGGTTGCCATCCCTTTATACATCAAACCCAAGTTTCAGGTGATTTGTACATCCAGAACATCTGGATCTTCAGGCCTTTAACTTCGGAGAAGATACAGTAAATCAAGGACTCGGCAATTTTAAGTGTGAAAAACGGGCAGAGTTTAAACTGGGATCTAATCCAAGCTATACTTAGACATAAGAAAGCAAAGGCGAATACAAATATCAAACTACTTGATCTGAGTTGCAAGTATATTAGACCTTATGCTTATGTAAAACATTAGGGCAGGAAAACATCTGTACTCTCATTAGGATCCCTGTGAAGAGTTAGAAGAGAATACATTTCCGCAGAAAAAGAGATACCAAAGAGAGTTCCCAGTAGGGATTCTGTAATAGGACTAGTTCCTCTTTTCAAAGATTTCACAAAGAATAGTTTTAAGATTTTTGTTGCTGAACCACTTAAGAAAGATAATTAAAAACCAGACCCACCCATTGAGTTAGTGCTAGTGGAATCTGTCCTTCTGGAAGTGCCAGATGGAGATTTAAAAAAAAAAAAAAAAAAAAAAATCTCTTCACTAATGGTGGCCAAGATTCCTTGGCACTGGGTGCCAGGACCAGGATATTAACCCAGAGTTCCTAGCCAAATCCAAGGTTGGTTAATTACTATCTGCCAACCTTAAAAAAAAAAAAAAAAAAAAAAAGGCACCTTCTCTGTTCCCGACTGAAATCTAAAGAGGTCGCTCTTACTTGAAATTCTTGTGTTGCAATCTGTTTTCCCTTAAAAGAGCATTGTAACTGAAATGCTGATTTAAAGCATATGGATTCTCTGAGTCCCATGTACATGGGAAACATACACTACATATATTAAAAATATATAAGATGCTGTAATAGTTTAAAACCTCCCTAAACAGTAATCTAAAAAATTCACCTCCAGGACAATACTGACAATGCTTTCCAATTAAGACTGAAGAAACTTACATGAAGGTTTATATTAAACAGAGATTTTTGAACCATGAAACTTTTAAGACTAAAAAGGAAGGCTTTGCTGCCAGGAGCGCAATTCCAGGAAAAAGCTATATATGCAAATGTCAGTTACAAGGCCTCCCAGGGTTGAGCAAAGATCCTGCATACAAATAGCAAAGCATACATTCTGTAGCAATTGTGAACATCAAGTACCTTTTTTGGTACTAAGGTGCCATTGCCAACATATCCTGCACACCGCTTGAAATACCATAAAGCAGGGTTCAACTTCTAGCCCTGTATTCACTAGCCATGTGGCCTTTTAGGCAAGTTGGTAAAATTCTTTGAGCCTCATATGCTCCCACATATTTAACTTCTTCAACAAAATCAGTAACGTTATCTGTATCTTTCACTATTTTAAAATATTTTAATAGATACATATTTTAAGACTACAAACTATATGGCCTTAAATCATCCGTCCCCTCCCAAACTCCCACCTCAGGACCTTTGTACTTGCTGTTCCGTCTTCCTACTGTGCCCTTCCCTCACGGATCTACATTCCCTCACTTCCTCTCGCTGTTAACTGAAGTCACATTCTCCTCAAGGTCTCCTCTTGCCACCCTACTGAAAATTTCAATTACTTTAACTCTTGTCCCCAAAACTACATTTTTCCCCTTCCCTGACTTATTTTTTTTCATACCATGTAACACTGTACAACATACAATATTTTTAATCGAAATGGTTATTGTATTCCTCCCCTACTTGAAGGGGGCTCTAGGGGAACAAAGATCTCAGTTTTATTCATTGCTATATCATCAGCACCCAGAACAGCACCTGGCACAGAGCCATGCTCAATAAATATCTGTTGCGTGAATACCAAATGAGACTTAATTCAGCCCACAGATAGGTACCCCACAGCCCCACCTGCTGCCTTTGGGGAGAATATCACAACACTTAAAAACTAAAGAACTATCAGCTTGTTGGGACTGACCAACAACACTGTCCACTCTTAACATATGAAAAAACACTGGACCTCACACCTCATTTGTACAAGAAAGAGAATTAAGAAGCTGATAATTGGGATAAAGTAGAAAGTTATATGGGGTTAAAAAGTCTCACTTTGGTTAATACTGAACACAATTTCCTTTTAATGTTAATATTAAGCCATCTCAGGATGCCTGGGTGTCTCAGTTGGTTAAACGTCTGCCTTCGGCTCAGGTCATGATCCTCAGGGTCCTGGGACTGAGCCCCACATCGGGCTCTCTGCTCAGCGGGGAGCCTGCTTCTCCCTCTCCCTCTGCTCTTCCCCCTGCTTCTATTCTCTCTCTCTGTCTATCTCCATGTAAATTTACTCCCTACCTTCTGCTTTTTTCTTTAGGTTTGACCTCTCTAAAGCCAATCTTTTTTTTCTTTTTAAAGGTTTTTATTTATTTATTTGAGAGAGGGCACACAACCAGGCAGCGGGGCAGAGGAAGAGGGAGAAACAGGCTCCCCACTGAGCAGGGAGCCCAATGTGGGACTCGATCCCAGGACCCTGGAATCATGACCTGAGCTGAAATCAGAGGCTTAACCCACTGAGCCACCCAGGCGCCCTCTAAAGCCAATCTTAAAACATACTGACCTCATATTTGCAATTTTACCAAACACAGTATTCTCCAGAAACCTGCAGAGGGTGCTATAAAGTGAAATCAAAGCCTAGCTGGCTTGGTTGCTGGAGCATGCAGCTCTTGATTTCCCGGTTATGGGTTCGAGCCGCAACTGATGTAAAGAGTACTTTAAAAAAATTTTTTTCTTTAACTTTTAAAAATCTTAAACTAAAGTGAAAGGTCCTTACCATATACATTCCCAGAATGAAATACACATATATTAAATGTGTGTGTGTGTATGTTGTGCGGCCATATATGGCCAGAAATATATCTGTAAATAATAATCAGGAACACCGGGTGTGTTGAAGTGAAAACTTCAAAGATGCCTACCTTTGTATGGAGTACAAGAGGACCAGTTCATTGCTTATTAATCAACGATTGGGCTTAGAAGCCCAACAGAGACAGTATTTAAAAGCAAGGGTCAGACATTATTAAGTTCACATGTATTAATGTGTATGAGTGACATGGGATGCAAAAGACTCAATGTTAGACAATGGGTAAAATAAAAATTTGAGGGTGCCTGGGTGGCTCACTGGGTTGAGCCTCTGCCTTCGTTCGGGTCATGATCCCTGGGTCCTGGGATCGAGTCCCACATCGGGCTCTCTGCTCAGCGAGGGGCCTGCTTCTCTCCCTACTTGTGACCTCTGTCAGGTGAATAAATAAAATCTTTTTTAAAAAAATTAATACAAGTAAGAAGGGCACCAAATTTGAAACTCCTAAACAACAGAAACCAGATCGGCTTAGCCATTCTTGAAAAGGTAGGGAAGGGCACAATCTTTATCTTCAGACAATACGTACAAGAGATCCCACCCAGTTTCAATTTTATTTTTACTCCTTCGAACGAGGAGGCCTAAGATGTACTCTTTCTGTGAACCCAGCACCAGCTTTGTTCTAGCAATCGTCTACTTCCTTTGGTATCATAAAGCCCAGCCTTGCTCCTTGCCAGGAATTCACTATACTAATCTCATAACTAAGCACCTGGAGTCAATACCTGAGCTCAAATCCTGACACCACCACTTATTAGCTGTATGACCCTGGGCAAGGTACTTGACCTTTCCATGCCTCCTGTGTAAAATGGGGATAATGACAGCACCTTCCTTGGGTGAAGCTGATTAATGAGATAAAACATAAAAGACTTGCCCAAAGCCTGACCAAAGGAAGCCCTCACTAAAGGTTAATTGTTATTATTTCCAGAGGAAAAAACTGCCCCGAGGCTGAGGAGCAACATAACAGGATCCTTGTAAAAGGTTATCATTAAACCCCAAAGCCAAACACATTTGTTCTCCTGATTTGTGGATACCACAGGTTATAGTAATAATAATAAAACAGTAACACCAACCAGAATCATAACCCCAACAGCAGCAACACAAATTACTGAGCTCTTACTGGCCAGGCACTGTCCTAACCTAAAACAGGAAGAAGGCAAGGTCGCTTAAAAAAAAAAAAAAAATTCAATTTTCTCTACCCTCCTTTTAAAATACGGTAACTGGTGACCAAGTTTTGCTAAAAACAGGTATGTAGAAGATTACAGACTTGACGTGGAATTTCTTCATCCCAAAGAGGTGGGGCTGTGAAGGGAGGAGGGGGTGGTGCTCGGTTCCTGCCAGATGGGAAAGCCACATGAAGTGGAGAAACAGCCGCGTTCAGGGTTTATCCCCAAATCAAAATCAGATTTTTGAACCACAGGACCTCCAAATTAGGGGAATCAGAAGGCTCTGCTTTTAAAATAACCTCTAAACAAGTGTCATCTGTCCTCTGAGCCAATCCCCTGCCGAGGGAGAAGGCTCGGGTTACGGGGCAGTGGTGTTATTTCAGAAATCCTTGTCACCTCGTGTCATCCACCCTCTCCGAGAATCACAGTCCCACCTTGGGGGAGAGGGACAAAAGCCACGGCCAGGCAGGCCGGAGGCCAGCGGGGCCAGCCCACCGGCCGGCGCACGCACGGAGGCCAGGGCCAGGGTGCCCTCCATTCCGGCTCGCGGGCACCGGGTGGCAGGGCCCGAGGAACGCTCCCGAGACCCGGCGGCAGCGCCCAGGGGCAACAGGTCCGGCCGGGGCTCGGCCTCTGCGGGGTCCCGGCAGCCCCCAAGCCCCCCAGGGCCGAGGGGAGGGGAGCGGGGAGCCCGGGAGGGAGCGGCGCCTGGGGCGGCGCAGGGGCAAGGAGTCCAAGCTCCATCTTGAGGCGGACGGAGGAAGGGAAGGCCGGGCTCGGCGCTGACAGGGCCGGCCACTTTTCCGGCTCCGCGGTGGGGCACCCCAGGGACCCCCGGCCTCCAGGGCCACCCGCTCGGGACCCCCGGGGTCCCCTCGGAAGCGCCCCGCTCGAGACACTCGGGGCCCTCCCGGACGCCGGGCTCGGCCCCCAACCCCCGGCCCCGAGCCCGGCGGACGGGAGCGGGCCCGGCCGGGAGCAAGGGGAAGGGGAGGAGGGCACCAGGGAAGGGGAGAGGGCCCGCGCCGCGCCCCGCTCACCGCCGCCTCGGTCGCCGCCAGTCGCCGCCACCTGCCCCACTGCAGCAGCAGCAGCAGCCGCGCGGCCGCCGCCTCCCGCCTCCCGGCTCGTCGGCTCGGGGCGGGGGAGAGCGTGACGCGCCGCCGCAGCCGCCGCCGCCGCCGCGGGGCCGGGCGGGCGCGCGCCGCCAGGAGAAGACGCCGCCGCGGCTCCTCCCCGCGCGCTCGGCCTCGGCGCCCGCCCCCGGCCCGGCCGCCCGGCGCCTGAGCCCCGCGCCCCGAGCTCCGCGCCCACCCCCGGCCGCGGCCCGAGCCCGGCACCGCCGCCTCTTTGTCTGCACCCGCCGCTGCCTGGGAGCCGCGCTCTAGCCGCCCGGCGCGCCCGCCGTCCAGCCCTCGGATCCCACTGAGGACCGGGATGGGAGGGAGGTGTGGGGGAAGCCCCCAGCGGCCCAGACCGAGGGGCTTCTCCTCGTTTCGGTTAATGGCGCATTTTCTGAAAGTGTCCCCAGAATTGGCGGGTCACACCCGAGAGCTCCATTCAGTGTCCTGACCACAGCCTGCTAGCGTGGGGCTGATTGACTTTTTCTTTCTTTCTTTTCTTTTTTTTTTTTTTTTTCCTTTTTTCCTTTTTGACCAGACCCGGGGTGACAAATCCTTGGATACCAGCTAGGAGGAGCTGCCCACAGCAGGTTAAGTTTAAGGAGCGTCGTCTCTGCCCTCCGCTCCCTCCGGGGAAAGACCCCCGGTGCGGAATCCCTGGGAAAACCTGGAAGGAGCCGCCTACAGCAAGTAGTGAAGCTTGAGAAGGACCGTCTCTGTCTGCAGTCTCCTCTCCTCCGGGGAAAGACCGGGGCTTTAAAACCGCTTGAAATAAGCCCAGCACTTGCTCCATTAGTTTGAGAAAAGCCTCTTTTATTCGCTCCTGCCGCTTTGGACGAAAGCCCTGGTTAATGCCCTGTCCTCCCTCCCTCCCCGCGGGGATCTCCCTTAAAAGCTTTTGAAAGGGACTGGAGAGGAGGCAGCCGCAGCCTGCTCGGGGCTGCTGCCACAGAGGGCGGCCAGCATTTCACTCTCACCGACCATGGCAACCCCAGAAGCTTTGCAACTCCTGGGAGGAATTTGCAGCTGTCAGGGAAGCCCTGCGTTTTGCAGCGACTCCGAGGTGGATAAGGGGCCCCAGGGCTTCCTCGTCCTGCGGGGTAGAATGGAATAATCGGGAGGGCGACCCCTTTGCTGACCTTTATTCAAAGCACTGTGCTGCTGAAAACAACAGGCTCGCACAGAGTATATATACAGGCAGGGAGCTACGTTGGAAATGCTCGAAGTTCGGACAAAGTAAATTTATCTGCTGGCCCCTCCCCTCGATTCAAGTTTTAAATCACAAAAATTATATTTCTTAATTCAGCACTGCCCTGGTTTTCAAGCTGCGAGGTCAATGTGGTGGGTGCACCCCGGAAATCCAGAATCCACATTCCTAACTTAAAAGAGTCACCTCACCCCCTCTTCTGAACACTTCAGCTCTAAGAAGCAACCTATATAATCATAGATGCCATAAAATGAGGTCACTGCTAATGGTGAGGTACTCCTGTAAACGCTTCTGTTTTTATCTTTTCTCCCCCACTCATTCTGCTGAGCCTGTCTTTATTTTAAAATGCTGATGTTCTGTTCGTTATATATTTTTTTGCATTTATTTCTATTTTTTAAATATTGTGTCAAAACATTCTGTCTCTAAACTTTAAATTTAGTGACCAAGGCCTGGTCCCAGCCCTCCTAGCAGAACAGTGACTGGGATCAGTCCCCCGGAGTGGCCAATATTAAGACTAAAGAACATGCTCGGTCCTACCTCAAAATAAGCTCTCACATTCCGTTTTTAGATTTAGCCACTGATCATTTTAAAATGCATGTCTTCTGTAAAAGTATTAGAACAGCTCAATTGACAAGACTTTGGAAGATGGAGGAAGGTAGCAAAGTAGAAAACCAGGAAGGGTCTCCCAAGTCTTCATTTTACAAAGTGAGGAAGTTAGTATATATCTGTGGTTTTTTTTGTTTGTTTTCTGGAACGAAAAAATAAAGGTTTAGTCATATCATTGATGTAACCAGTAGGCATAACTACAAATAGTTGTAGAACTGTGTCAAGGGAGAGAGGGTAGTAGTGCTTCAAACATAACAGACTGTCAATAGAGGGTGTCCACAAACCATAAGTAAGTAGCAATATAAGTGTATTCTTTTTTCTTTTTAAGATTTTATTTATTTATTTGACAGAGACAAAAACAGTGAGAGAAGGGATACAAGCAGGGGGAGGGGGAGAGGGAGAAGCAGGCTTCCCACTGAGCTGAGAGCCCCATACAAGGTCCAATCCCAGGACCCCGGGATCACCACCCTAGCAGAAGGCAGACGCTCAATGGCGGAACCACCCTAAGAATACGTGTATTCTTAGACATACAGAAGTTACTACCAGAAAAGCAAGAAGCAGAAAAATAGTGGTCTCGGGGCGCCTGGCTGGCTCACTCGGTAGAAGTCCGAGACTCCTGGACTCAAGGGTTGTGGGTTTGGGCCCCATGTTGAGTGTAGAGATTATTTAAAAATAAAATCTATTTAAGAAAATATGTAGTCATCTCTGGTGAAGATGGGGTGAGGAAGGTGGGCAGAACAATGTTGCTTTTCACTATAAACCCTGATATACTTTATTTTTTTAAAACCGTGTGCATGCGTTACTTTGCTTCCCCTCCCCCCAAAAAAGTATTTAAGATCTTCAAATAAAATGATTAAAGAATATACTCTGCAAATAAGACAAAATCAGAGGAGCAACCAAACACTAAGAGACTATTAACAATAAGAAACTAACTGAGGGGGCACCTGGGTGGCTCAGTGGGTTAAGCCTCTGCCTTTGATTCAGGTCATGATCTCGGAGTCCTGGAATCGAGTCCCGCATCCGGCTCTCTGCTCAGCAGGGAGTCCCCCTCTCTCTCTCTGCCTGCCTCTCTGCCTACTTGTGGTTTCTCTGTCTGTGTGTCAAATAAATAAAATCTATAAAAAAAAAAGAAAGAAAGAAAAAGAAAAAAAGAAAGGAAGAAACAAACTGAGGAAGGAATGCCTGGGTGGCTCAGTGGGTTAAGCCTCTGCCTTCAGCTCAGGTCATGATCCCAAGATCCTGGGATGGAGCCCCGCATTGGGCTCTTTGCTCAGCAGGGAGCCTGCTTCCCCCGCCCCTTCTCTCTCTGCCTGCCTCTTTGCCTACTTGTGATCTCTGTCTATCAAATAAATAAATAAAATCTTAAAAAAAATCTTTAAAAAAACAAAAACTAAAGAATGCTGATGGTAGGGTTTCATGAAATTTTTCAAAAAGCAAAATGATGAGAGAATGACAAGCTAAATTTAGATTCCTACCGTCACTTCTCAAAGGGAACAATCTTGTGACAACAAAAGCCGCATTTACACATTGAGTTAACAAAGAACAATATCAACAGAGCACCACACATCATGATGCAAACTGTATTTTAGGTCTTCTAAATAGACTGGTGCTTTGAGTGCTTGTAGTTTCATGAAGAGGGGATTGAACAAGATGACTTATCAAGTTCCTACCACAAACATTTTTAAGATTCTGTGACTTTTCTCCAGTAAAGCAAAACATTGGTGAAATCAGTGGTTGATGCAGCCATTCAAACCTAATTCAACAAATATTTGTTGAGTGCATGAAAAGCTGATCCTATCTTCATCAAAAAAACAAGCAGACTCAACCAAATACATGTACACACATGTTCACAGCAGTACAATTTATAATAGCCAAAAGATAGAAACAGCCAAATGTTCATCGGCAGATGAATAGGTTAAAAAAAGTATGGAATATAAATACAGTGAGATAGTACCAATCAAGAGAAAAAAAAATGAAGTAGTGACCCATGCTACAAGCCGAATCAACCTCAAAAACACGGTGCTGAGTGAAAGAAGCCAGACACAAAAGACTGCATATTGTGTCTCCATCTATAGGAAATATCCAGGGGTGCCTGGGTGGCTCAGTCGGTTGGGCCTCTGCCTTTGGCTCAGGTCATGATCCCAGGGTCCTGGGATCGAGTCCTGCCTACATTGGGCTCCCTGTTCAGGGGGGAGCCTGCTTCTCCCTCTCCCTCTGCCTGCTGTCCCCCTACTTGTGCTCGTTCTCTCTCTGTTGAATAAATAAATAAAATATTTTAAAAAAGAATAAGAAATATCCAGAATAAGTTAATACATGGAGACAGAAAGTAAATGGTGGTTGTCAGAGGCTGGGGGCGCTGGGTAGTAGGTGGGAGCAACAGCTTAAAGGGTGCAGGGTCTCCTTTTGGAGTGATTCAAGTGTTTGCAACCAGACAGCGGTGTTGGTCACACAACATTGTGAATGTACTAAATGCTACCAAGTTGCACGCTTTAAAATGGCTGATTTTGGGAGCGCCTGGATGGATCAGTTGGTCAAGTGTCTGAATTTGGCTCAGGTCATGATCTCAAGGTCCTGGGATCAAGCCGGACAAGCTCAATGAGGAGTCTGATTATCCCTCTCCCTCTGTCCCTTCCCCAGCTCCTGCTCTCTCTCTCTCTCAAATAGATAAATAAAATCTTTTAAAAATGGTTGATTTCATGCTATTTGCATATTATTTCAATAAAAATTTAAATTACTAAGTATTAAAATAAACGAGTATGTGTAAATAAATATAAATAAATGAGATATAAATAAATATATCAATATAAGTAAATAAATAAATAGCTAGCTAGATAGATAGAAGTAATAAATGGTCCCCCTCGGGGCACCTGGGTGGCTCAGTGGGTTAAGCCTCTGCCTTGGGCTAAGGTCATGATCCCAGGGTCCTGGGATTGAGCCCCGCATCGGGCTCTCTGCTCAGTGGGGAGCCTGCTTCCTCCTCTCTCTCTGCCTGCCACTCGGCCTACTTGTGATCTCTCTGTCAAATTAATTAATTAATTAAATCCTTCAAATAAATAAATAAATAAATGTTCCCCCCTGCAAAAAAAGTCGAGCAGAGAATGGATGATAACCAGGTAGGTAGGAGATTTTGGAAAAGATAGATATTATTTTATATATTTTTTAAGATTTTAAGTCACTTCTATACCCAACATGGGGCTCAAAGTCACAGCCCCGAGATCAAGGGTCACAGGCTTTACTGACTGAGCCAGTCAGGCCTTCCTAACTCTAATATTCTATTTTTTTACAGACCCAGCTTTTTCTTAGGTGTTCAACCTGGCAAGGGGGGTGGGGAACCACAACTGTATTGGGTCTGAAGTCTCACTGGACAAAAATACCAAAAATGGAATCTGGACTATAAGTCCAAGGGAAGGTGCACAGGGCCTTGCCAGCCCCTGGCAGGGCTCTGAGAAAATGGCTCACATTCAGACACCTTCTAAAAGGAAAGGCCCAAACAAAATTGGCACATCTTTTTTTTTTTTTTTAAGATTTTATTTTTATTTATTTATTTGTCAGAGAAAGAGAGAGCAAGTACAAGCAGGGGGAGCAGCAGGTGCCCTGATGAGCAAGGAGTCAGATGCGGGACTTGATCCCAGGACTCTGGGATCATGGCCTGAGCTGAAGGCAGACGCTTAACCCACTGAGCCACCCAGGTGCCCCCAAATAGGCAAATCTAATACTATCCTCAATCCTATGACCTGGAGACACCAGCTAGTCTCTGTGATTTCAACTAAAAAATGTTAATACCGATTAACTAGTTCACTTAACTCTGTCATACTAACTTCACTGACTGCACGCCTCACAGGTTGAGTGAGGATATGTGTGTGTGTTTTTCTGGGTGTAGGTTTAGAACTTGTAAACAGGTCAGTTGGATATACTTGGGATACTCTTAATGGTGGTCAGTGAGACTGGTATCAGGATTTCCTGGGTAAAAGAGTTTAAACAACAAAAAGAAAGAGGCAGGGTGCCTGGGTGGCTCAGTGGGTTAAAGCCTCTGCCTTCGGCTCAGGTCATGATCCCACGGTCCTGGGATCAAGCCCCGCACTGGGCTCCCTGCTGTGTGGGAAGCCTGCTTCTCCCTCTTCTGCTCCCCTCTCTCACCTTGTCTCTCTCTGTCAAGTAAATAAATAAAATCTTTAAAAAAAAAAAAAAGAAAGAGACAAAACAGTGTGTAACAGGCCTTTTTTTTTTAATAAGGGAGAGAGGTGCAGATAACTCTTTAATGAAAGTATTTATAGAAAACAAAATATTAATATGCTTTTCTTGCCTTGTCTTTCATCATAGCTGATCCTGACCCTGGACGGTGCAAGTCCTCTGCTTGCAGTGACTGGTGAGGTGGGAGTGAAAGAGAAGTCGGATTATTAGCCAAGAAGAGGAGAGAAAAAGAAGAAATTAATATTCAGGTTTTGA